AATTAGAATATGTCAACCAGTGATGTATTGAAACAGCTCAATGATTATATATGTATCAGATTAAAATTATTAATGAATCATTACAGTCATTGATACCTGAGTCTAATAAACCAAGAGTGCCTACACTAACTGGATTAAACCTGACATCTAGTATCATTGTCAACAGAAGTGAAGGATGTACTGTAGAAATTTTTTCAGCCTGCAGCTCCTTACAACTATGTATATCCAGTTCAGCTCCTTTTATAAAGGTTTTTATGATTGTCTATATTTTTATTTCACTTTCTTATTTCCTTGTAGGACAATAAGATAATGGTGTCTTATTCATGTAATGCAACACCAAATTTAAATACTTCTACTGTTGTTGAATCTATTGAAAAGCTGTATGCTCCAGATCTTAAATTCAGGTGTCTTTGTTATGCTATTAGTGGACTGGTATCTTGTGATACTATCATTCATCGTTGTCCTTATAAAGAATCAGTTCCAGCTCTGACAGCAACATTTACTGATATTTTTTGAAATTAGTCTATAAATATTATTTTAATGTATGTCAGTTTATCTATGCAGTTTATCAATATTTCAATTAGTTCATTTATTATTAATAGCCACAGTCATTGTCAATACTACCTTGTACAGCATATACAAGCTGTGCCTTTAATCTTCTTGACACAGCTATTCATAACTAAATTAAAATAACTTACTGGACTATTGACACACAGTTAAAATATCAGTAGTTGAATCACATGATCAGTCACTGTATGCAGCTATGGATTATGAAGTACCAGTATCTATTCAACAAGCTCCAGTGTCTGATTATGAAGTTCCTGTCTCCTCTAATCCTAGCTACTCTGATCATGTACCTCTCTCTACTAATAATAATCAGCTATTAGCTACACCAGTCACTACTAATCCTTCCTATCAACCAGTTAAGAATAAAGTTTATTCTTTTGATCATTAACTATTATTATATCAATTGACAGGTAGAATTGGAGACTGAGTATTATGATGCTTTTGATACAAATAAAATTTGTACAAAAAGGTTAAAAGTAAAAATTAATTCAATTTCACTTCATCAATACATTTACTAGGAACACCTCATATCTACCAGTTGATCTAAAAACTACAACTACTACAGTGAGTCCTTCAGCCCATATTAAAAGGACAAAAAAGAGAATAAGATCATATTTCAATGAAGAACTAACCAACTGGGAGTATATACTAGCAGCACTAGCCACATTGACTGTTCTAATTACAGTTACTGCTATCAGCCTGGCATTGATTAGTAAGGATTAGGATTGTTGAGTGATTATCTATAAACACTGCCATTTGATAGAATTTAAACCAAAAACATCAATTAATGTTAATGTAAAACATATATCACTATGTTTCCTTATTAGTTATATTTAAAGAAGAGATGGGGACTCAATCTCCTAATGATGTCAGTACTCTTACCATCACTCAGTCACCTCCTACCACTACTGCTTTTAGTGTGAATCCATTGGACAGTTGTCAGTGTACAGGTAAATGTATATGATACCATCATAGGGCTGGAAATAAATTTCACTAATTTCCATTAATTTTGCAAAATTAGATTCCACAAAAAGGTGTGGCCTACTAGGAAAAATCGTTGCACAAGAATTGCA